GAACTCCACTGCGTGTCAGCTGGCATATATTAGCCAATGAGGACAAGGCAAGCTGTTATTTGGATGTTCTTTACAAAGAAGATTCTTTGGTTCTTCAGTTATTTCGTTCAATTTGTGATGAGTTGTGTGAGTGCACGTGCCTTCAGGAAATAGTTTTAGAAATTATCATCTTTTGTTATGTCTGCGAGAATGAAATACTCGTGTACGTTTCAAAAATCGTACAGTTGACTTTCCTTCCATTATTTCCTCAAGGAAATGTAATAAATTTGCGATGTGCACCGCCTGTCGTTGCGATTTTTCGAATTCGCAATGTGGAAGGACGGATGTTCTCAAACATGTGCGAACACAAAAACACAAAGATAACATGAGTTGTTTTTTAAAAAAACGAAAACGAAGGACCAAAAAGTTATTAATACAGAATGTCTGTTCTCTGCCTTTTTACTGGAGCACAACCTGCCACTGAATGCATCGGATCACGCTGCAGCTTTATTTAGAAAAATGTTTCTCGACAGTGAAATTGCTAAGAAACACTCAAGTGCAAGAATCAAAACAGGTGCAATTGTTAAAGAAATGGGTTTGAAAAATAAATCTTCAGTTATTGATTGCACAAAACAGCTCCGTTCTGCCTCTCTACGGATGGAAGCCATAATACCGATTCAAAACTGTATCCAATTGTTGTTTCTTTTTTTAATCCAGATTCTTCAGAAATTGAGTGCAGTTTACTTTTTGTCCCCATTTTAGAAGGACATTTGACAGGCTTTAATATACCACAGTTAATTATTAAACTTTAAAAGAAAATGCAGGCACTCTGGATAATTGCTTAGCACTTGGTGCCGATAATGCACCAGTATTGGTAGGCTTGAAGACTGGCGTTGCAGGCATCTTAAGAAAGGAAAATTCAGATTTGCAGATTATGAGGTGCACCTGTCACCTCTTAAATTTAGCAGCTGAAAAAGGGGCAGCTTCTTTACCAATAAATGTGGATGAACACATTGCAAATATTTATTATTATCTTAAAAGGAGTTCTAAAAGGAAGGAAAAATTGAAACAGTTCCAACAGCTGCATAACAGCAGTTTACAATTAGAAAACTTGAATGAAGTAATAAAATCAGCTAGGATTGACACCCAGTGGAGTTTAATTGCAAAACTGAAAGGTGCTGATGGAATTTTAAAATATAGTCAACTGTCTAGAATTGTGTTGGCCATCTTGACAGTTCCCCATAGTAGTGCAGAGTGTGAGAGGATTTTCAGTGTTGTTGCGTAAACGAGGACTAAATTTAGATCTAATATTAGTGATGACACATTAGAAAAACTTTTCTTATCGAAAGCAGGCCTACGTGGCAATTGCAGTGAACAAAATTAGGAAAAACTAAAATTCCCTCCTTTTTTTTTCCCCCTTAAACGATGCAAGTAATAAAAATGTTTTTTTATGCGTAAGGTATTTTTCGTGTTGCTTGCATTTAAAAATTAGTTACTATTTAAAGTTAATTCATTATTAAAAACCATATTTTTATCATTTAAAAAGTCTTTTTAACATTGTGAAAAATCTCCTGATTTTTGAGTGTCATAGGTTGGCAAGTATGAACATGATGTACAGAAGCTAACACACTGTCAAAAGTCATTAATATGGACACCCATAATCAGGGATGATCTACGTAGGTTTTTTTTTTTTTTTTTTTTTTTTCCCCAACCTCCGATCGCACAGTATGATGGCCAGGTATGCGGCAGGTAATTGGTGTACGTAGTAGGCGACTGCGCATCTCCCCCTCCACATGCTCTGTCACTGGCGTATTCAACACGCCATTTTCTATTGAGTTGCAGTCACGTAAACATGGCTGTCGCTATTGATTCTCCCGCCAAGTGTGAATTGATAGCTGTTATTCGTTTCTTGCAAGCAGAAGGGAAAGTGCAACGGAAATTCATCGAAGAATGAGCCGAGCGTATGGAAACAGCTTTATGAGTAATGGCAGTGTTCATGAATGGTGTCGAAACTTTAAAGATGGCCGAACTGATGTGCATGATGAAGGGGGTCAAGGACGCAAGTCTGTCGCTACAGATAACATTGTTCAACAAGTTGACCAAGCAAAATCGAAGGTTCACCATAAGTGAATTATCGATGAAATTTCCGGAAGTTTTAAGATCTTCCCTGTACTGTATTGCTACCGAACAGTTGCGCTACAGAAAAGTTTGTGCTCGCTGGGTCCCACAGATGTTGACTGACGACTACAAAACTCGCCGAATGGTTGTAGTGTTTGAGTTTCTTGACCGTTACAATACTGATGGAGAAGAAGTTTTGAAATCCATTGTGACAGGTGATGAGACATGGGTTCAATATGACACTCCCGAAACGAAACGACAATCACAACTATGGATGCACACAAATTCTCCAAGGAGACCCACAAAATTCAAACGAACCTTTAACAACCGTTAGGTTATGGCAACTGTTTTTTGGGACCAAAACGGTGTGTTGCTTGTGGAGTTTATGCAGCCTGGAAAAACAATTAATGCAGATAATATTGTGAAACTTTGGAACGCTTATGGAGAGCTATTCAAAACAAACAAAGAGGCATGCTGACTTCTGGTACTGTTCTGATCCACGACAATGCCTGTCCTCACAGTGCTCGTGTAACCCAACGGCTCCTTCAGCAATTTCAATGGGACATTTTCGAACATCCACCATATACTCCCAACGTAGCGCTGAGTGACTTTCATCTGTTCCCTGAACTGAAGCAGTGGCTTGGCGGGAAGCGCTTCCAAAATGACGTGGAGCTGAAAGAAACCATCACAACGCACTTCCAATCATTGGTGGGGACATTTTATGAAAAGAGTATTGCAAAGCTTGTTCACAGATATGACAAATGCCTCAATCGTCAAGGTGGTTATGTAGAGAAATAACCTGTATTGTAGATTACTTTTGGAAATAAAATCTTTTTTTTATATTCACCCGTCTTTTCTTTATAGCCCATCGAAGGCTGAAAAAAAAAAAAAAAAATAGCCCTCATATAATCCAGACCTCAAAGCTACAAACTTTCTGCACATGCGTCAACACATAATGCGTCCACGCATGCACGTAATTCTTTTATGCATGCGCATATGCGCATAATACAGTATAAGCTAAGCTAAAATTACCTAATTATCTATTTCAGTTAATGTTGCAGATTGTGTTGTTACTTAATTTTCGAATTGGATCCAGCTTATTATTTTTTGCAGACTGTTAGAGCAATTTTATAAAAGTAAGCTTGAACTTTCGATTATGTCAAAGAGAATTTCAAATACATCTACAAAGCAAAAGTATGTTTCGATGTCCATCAAACAAAAAGTGGAATTGCTGCAAAAAATGAATAAAGGCATATCCTTTGTTTCTCTAACCATTCGGAAATCTGTTTATCCATTTCACGCTGCTCTGTGGCGGGAAAGGGGGGGACGCCGCGGCGCGCAATGAATTCGAAGTTGATCTGTCAGCAATATCCTCATCTTCAGGGCAGATGTTTTTATTTTATTTGGCTTATAATTCCTTACTAAATGCAGTATTTCATCTCGATGTACTCCATCTTTGATATGATTTAAATCAAATTCCTCATCGTTATAATTCGCTTCCGATAGTGAAGAAAGTGACACAGAGGTTATTGAAAACAAAACAATTTCTATTGACAAATTAGTCGGTATTCTCGACACAGTGATTATAGGACTTGAACAGCGGAACTTTGTAACTGAACAAGAAATTACGTATGTTTATAGAATTAAAGAGAAAGTGTTATCACATAAAACGAAGCAACTTAAATAACTTACATTGAAAGAAATGTTTAATAAAGTAAACAAATAAATATTAAGCTTTTTTTTTTTTTTTTTTTTGTAAATTTTGATACCCTTTAGATCATAATTGCTCTTTATTTCATAAATTACGGTTCCATATTTTTAATTTTATAATTTCTGCATGCCATCTTACCAGATTTAAACTGATGATCTATAATCCAGAATCACCAAAGTCCCGACGAGTCCGCATTAACGACTTTTGACTGTATTTATTTTGATTAACAACATCTATGGAGCATTGTCAAAAAATTTTTTGTCAAAGTACGTATTCTATTAGTTTTTTGATTTTGTACAGTATTCCTCAATTTCTGGTAGCCCTAGAGATTTAGCGATGACCTTAGTGCAACAACCTTAGAAGTAATCAGAAAAAAATCTTAGAATGTGCCAAATTTTGGCAATGTGCATGAGAATTCTCCAGTTTTGTCAAGCAAAGTTGTATCCTTTCTTTTTGCTGCATTTCTGTTTTTCAACAGTTTACATAGACAAATTGTAATATCTTTTGTTTTAAATTCAGTTATTTAAAATAAAATATATTACATGGTCTATTTAAACTGTTAAATTTATATTATAGTTTGTCTATGTAACTATTTCTCTTACTGAATATGCCAGCAATGGAAGAAAATTCAACAAAATTTTCACAGGAATGCAGCACGTTTCAGAAAAATTGCTAAAATGAACAACTTCATTATTCACAGTTTCAATTCACAGTTCAACATTCACAGTTTGAATCAATTATGAAAGTGATGGCACATATTAACCATTAGAATAAAAGAAATAAAAATCCATTCTAAATAGGTTTATTAGTTGACTTTCAAGATAAATACCTAATTAAAACCTAAATCATTCTTTTTTTCTTTTCCTTCTGTAAAAAACTGTCATCCTGCATTTTTTGCAGTAATAAATAAGTACCAAACACACAAATTTGTAGGCAGAATTTAGTTATTATAACTGCTTTTACTAAATTTTACTACAGCCCATTATTAATAAACAAATAAATTTATTTATATGTGCAGATTATCAAATTCCAGTTCCAAAACATTTTAAATATCATTCTTAGAAATTTTTCAACAATTCATAATGCAACAACTATGATAAAATATAGTTTAGCAAAACATTTTATTCTGCTTGAAGAAGAGATAAATACATAGTAACAACAATATAAAATAAACATAAGCTATTTTAAATACCAGGGTTCATCTTCTAACTGCCAACCATCTAATTCCTTGAAACAAACATAACACTGAACAAGATCTGGTTCTATATCTGTTGGACAATGGAAAAATCCGGCTTCAGCCATCTAAATAAATGGGTTCATAATGCAACAAATTAAACATTGGTATAAAACTAACTAATACACTTAAAAGCATTTAACTCATACACTTGAGAAAAATCATTCACAGTTACTTTCAAACTCCTAATACATGTAATTTTAAGTTAAAGTTCAAAGTGACATTACACATATCTATAAAATATATTTTTCAAACAAAATTTAGCAAGTCAATAATTAATATATTACATCAGTCAGTTAATACATAATTAATGTAAAAAATGATTGATTTAATTATTATCTGAGAATTTAAAAAAAAAAAAAAACTTACAAACACACCTTTAGATTTAATGAAATCCTAAGTCACATGTAATAGCTCTCATAATTTTTAGGCCAGCTCTGCTCATGTTGATTCATCATATGCTTCCAGAGTTATTTTACCTTATCTTTAAAGAATTTTTTAATCCATTTTGCATATCGGGAAAAATACATATTTCAGGGTATTCCTTGGCGAAAATTGGGAATTTTTTTGGCACCATTCTTACAATAGTTTACGTGCAAAAGAATTTTTTAATCCATTTTGCATATCAGGAAAAGTATATATTTCAGGGTATTCCTTGGCGAAAATTGGGAATTTTTTTGGCACCATTCTAGTTTACGTGCAATGCCCTCTCAAGTCATATAACATCCAAAACATAATTAAAGCATTAAAAAATTATAATCTCAATAAACTGTGCTTTAAATCAAAATAAAACAAGGACATAAAACTGGAAATACATATTTGCTTAATTTGCGCAGTACAAAAAGGAAATATTAACTTACCTTATTTAGAAATTTCTGTGTCTTCAATGTGTCAAATACAGAATTCCTTAACATAATCCAAAAACTATTTAAAATTATCTCAACTAGAATCTGTATACTGCCATCATCACATAAATTCACAAAAGTGAAAATAAAACATATCTTCCATACTGCCGGTGGCATTTCTTTCAAAAATTGCTTTTTATTACACCTCACATACATACCTTCCATAGTGTTGAAATTAGCTCCGGTTTCCAAATCCTTAAATCTCACCGCATAATTCACTGAGAGTTGAACGAAGCCATTTAAACCTTCATTTACACACCAGCCAATCCAATGTTTTTTCTCCCATTCATTCCAAAGCATGCAGAATCTTTGGGTTAATCATACCACCGACAGGCATTTTATGCTGTAAAGCACAAAATAAGCAACGTACTTCCTAACCAACATTCAATGCATAAATAAGCCCTGAGAAATAATTTCCCAACAGTCAAAATCGCCACAATCCCGCATTACAACCAATCCCGTCATAATAGGGTTTCTATAACATTCAACGTAAAATACTCAGGTTACCATAAACAGGCAGCAAAGCTTCAAGGATTATATTTTCCCTTTAAAAAAATCATCAGGAAATTGCACAAACTAAGCACTGCACACTCCCTTGACTTTGTCCACGTACACATCGAACTGTATTCACTTAAAAAGTCAAAGGAACAGCCAACAAAAACATATATAATTTCAATACACTACATTTTAAATCAAACAATGAAATAACATAAAAAAGGAAATTTATCTTTGCACTGCACAAAGGAAATATCCACTTGCCTTATTTATGAATTAACATGTCTTCAGTCAAATAAAATTCCTTAACAGCATCCAAAAACTTCCTAAAATTATCTGAACTAGAATCTGTATATTGACATCGCCACATAAATTCACAAAATAAAAGTAAAAAATATCCTCCACAGCAACGTTCGACCATGCCCATTTCCTTCCTACAAACAGGACACATAATGGCTACTAAGTAAACCTTCATTTATACACCAGTCAAATAATGCTCTGTTCCCCTTTCTTTCCAAATCATAGAGAAAATTCCAATTCTTCTTACCATATTTAGCCATTTTACCATCTAAACCACAAAACGAGCAATATACTTCCTAACCAATACACACCACAAGCCCTTACGAATTTACCGCAATCATGCGACCGATTACGTCATAATAAGGTTTCCATAACATTCAACTACTCAGACTACCATAAATGAAACAACAACTTCGTGATAATACAAAGGATACCCTTCTCTCGGTGCTACTTTGGAAGACGGTTGCACGGATTTTTGGCGATTTACGTTGGCGCGATTTCTACAAACGTCAGCCATCTTGAAAAACGCTGTTTTTACGCATAGTAAAGTATTCGAAAACTTAAAAAAAAAAAAAAATAAATATCGTTAGAATAATGGATAATTTTTTGTTGAAAATGTCGTTTTTAAGATGGCAGCAAGTGTTAAATAAATACATTTATATGAGTATAAAATACTAAAGTAAGGTTATTATTACTTTCATATGCAGAAGAGAATAAAAACACCGCATTAAAAACATTGTGCCAACGTTTAATTAGATTAAAATATACTGAAATGAATATTCAAATAAAAAACATCATCTAACATTTAAAGAATTAGAATATTATTAAATTTAAATACTTTAAAATCTGTTATATATAATATAATATATATATATATATATAATATATAGAATAAATACATTTTATACGAGTATAATACTAAGAAAAGGTTAAATTATTACTTTCATATAGCATAGAAATAGAATAAAAATACCACTATAAAAAACATTGCGCCAACGTTTAATTGGATTAAAATATTACGTAAATGAATATCGAATTAAAAACCATCATACCAACGTTTAAAAGAATTAAAATATGACTTAAATACTTTAAAATAAGTAAATAAGAACACTTCGTACAGTAGAGCTAAAATGACAGCAATTAGTTTATTTTCGGTAAAAAGGGAGGCAAAAAATGTCGGTAAAAAATGTCTAATAATTTCCTTACCGTACAGCGGTTATTTCTTCCAACATGACCACAATATCATATACGGCCGTTCTCAGAATCGGCTCTTCTAATGATCTTCATCTGTGATATACATTTTCGTACTTCATTGAAGAAGCAGTTAGCGAAGTTTCCTTTAAAAATTTAAAATAAATTTCCTCTAACCCTTGTAAGAATTTATAAATAAATATTTGATTTTTTTGGCGAAAATTTGGCAACCAACTCTCCTACAGCAATTTTTTTTTCCCGCCGCCATTTGTCTTCACGAAGAGTAAAGACATGTTTTCTTTTCTTTTATCTACTGAACACTTCTTCCACAATCTACTAGCCGAATTACACTTATGCTAGAAATTTTATCAAACAAAACTGCTTAATCATGACAAATATTCACTGCAAAATTGGGAAAAAGTGCACAATACCATACTCCTTACGCGTTTTTCAAAATAACACATACACATAAAACCATGTACACACCGACTTATTTTTACTTAAAAAAACATCCCAGAATTGCACAAAAATGGCATTGCGCACACTCTTCACTATATCCATGTTACACTGCTTTTCTCATAAATTAGAAAAATTTCACGAAAATACCATGACCAATTTTCTCAATCTTTAAATCCGGTAAAAAGAACATATAGGAAATTACCTGATCGCGAAAAAAGTATTTACCCTTTACAAATATGAACATTTCCACATATAAAATAAATAAAATACCAAAAACTTTTACCTCTAAAATCATCTATTACATTATACACGTCACCAACGAATTCATACCACAAGCATTACAAATACTTAGTATCAAATATTAAATTATTTCCATGCATGTTATTTCAACTTAAACGTATACCAAATTCCTACAAACATAAAATTCACAAAATAACTATCATTTCATTAAAATATAATTAAATTCAAAAACACTACTTAAAATATAAAATGAGCAAATACATTAAATTAATAAAAATTACCTTACAACCTAATTACTTTAAACTAAATCATTGCTAATAACAATTTTCCCTATAATACCAATTCTTTCCACCTTACATTTAGAACAATGCATAAAAAATAATATCCTCAAATAATTAAAAATACTAACTTACTAATCTTCTTCAGAATCTTGATTACGTGGCGGATACACTTTTCTAATTCATTCATATAAAATTATTGAAAGATTTTTTATGCGAATTTTTCCTCCATACTTCCTCGCTAAATAAAAGCAAACTTCTCTTTATCACAATGCCTAAATACCCATTTCGAATTCACTTTAGTTAGGGCCATGGGATCCAAAAATTAAACAACACTGTTTCACACAACACAGAATAAAGCTAAATACAAAATTTCCACATTTTTCCCGATTTCCCCCCTTTTCCGATAAGAACCGTAATTCGTCCATTATATCACATGACATATCCATGATCTCTCATTTCCCTCACGCAAAATAATGCGTAATCGGAACTGAGTAACTGCTCACATTATTACCAAAGTCCCAGGTAGTAACCTTTATCGCCTCCAAAATGTCGCCAAACTACCAGTTACCATATTGTAAAGATCAACCATTTAATTTTTTAATGATTTTATTAGTCATTTTATTTATTTATTCTTGCGTCTTTTTCCAGACTGTCTTGTATAGGACTGGCACTTCTAATTTTAGAAATTAAGCCCTGCAGTATTTATATAATGTAAGTACAAGTACAATTTCTATTGCTATTGTAAATTTCAACCTAAATTTCCTCTAACCCTTGTAAGAATTTATAAATAAATCTTTGATTAGGAAATCCAGGCTGGCGAAAATAAGGTCTCAAAGGACAATTTTTTGATTCCGAAACCAAAAATTCTTGGTACTTATCAAAAAACAACATTCATTTTGAAGGAATTCGAAGATATGAATTAAATTTTAAAATGGCGCGTAATGCACAAATTTTCAGCAACCTATCAGGGAGCTGATACAGCTCATTAACGCACAATATTCTAAAACCAATCAGAGAGCTGATTACATCACGCCTAGAGTTAAAATTATTTAAATAATCATACATAATAAAATCATTTTAAAAAAAGAAATGCAAAATTAAATTGTATTTTAATATTTAACAGCCATAAATAATGTTTAAAACATTAGATTAAATTTATAGATATTAAAACTAATTACTTTTAAAGTAAGGTGACATCACTGATACATAATCCACAGCATAAAATTTCATAAAATATGATAAAGAATAAAATTTTTATTTCAAATAAAAAATGCAAAATTAAATTGCTTTTTAATATTTAGAAGCCATAAAATAATATAAAACACGGAATTTATGCATAATAACACGCATTATTTTTAAATAAAATGTCACAAAGTATCGGTTACCATAAATAACTTATCCAGCAATGGGTTTACCATAACTCGTAATACTCGCCAAAAGAAAAATTGCCAAAAACTCGCCAAAATCCGTGCAACCGCCTACCAAAGTAGCACCCTTCTCTCTAACCCAAAATTCCTCCTGTATCCATTTAGCAAAAAACTGCCTCGCGTCAGATGCTTTTTGATTTACTCCTCAAATAATATTAAATTTGCCCTTAATCCTGTTTTCTTCTTAAACACTTGTGGATTTTAAAATGGCACAAAAGGAAAGGTTTGATCTAACAACCCCCATTAGCGTTCCCACACAGCAACAGGAAAAGGCAGTCTTTAATTTACCTGGTACAGAATTTTCTTTCTTTACATATAAGTTCACCTAAGCACTTTTTTATAAAAGAGAAACATTTCATCACAGTCAAAAGATACAAAACTTGCCCTTCACTATTCATAAAAACACTTAGGACTTATATATTATCATAAACACCTTAGTAGAAGTCGCCAAATTTTCAGAATGTGCCAAACAAAAAAACATTCTGCAGCAAACCATGCTCATAACAATCCTTCAATCAAGCAATATTACCATTTTCAAATGCCTTCCTTTTGTTGTATTTCAAGTTCCAATGGTTGTTATAACAAATCGTGGGATTTTTCCTTTCAACTCAGTGCTGTCCAACTTATCATATCCCACGGGCCATATTTTCTTTACTAAACATTTCGGGGACCAAGAAGGTAGATAAATGAAAAGTCAGTTTATGTTAATTTAAAAAAATATTTTATTTATACTAAAAAGAAAACTTCAAAATATTCATAATATATTAATGAGAACATTGTGGCATAGCTCTAGCACTGTCAGTTACAATAGCAGTGCACTTGTCAAATCCGCCATACTGCTCTACTGAACATTTTAATTGTTTGTAACTATCTTCACCTTTTGTTGTTCCTTGTAATGATTGTAATTTTAAAAATTCTTCTGAATAATTATAGTTTTCATTTACAGTTCTTGTAAAGATAAGCATTTGACTTGTATCGGAAATGTCTGTGCTTTACATGGCGGCATGTTAAAGGCGGTATGAAATTGGTATTTCTGCTGTTCGAAAAAGCATTAATTCATGGTAAGTGCATTTTATTTTATTCTTGTTCTTATTTTGTAGAATGTTATGTTCATTTTTTTTTTTTTTTTTTTTTTTTTTTTTAGTATGAATTTCTGTCGTTATTGTTGGTTTTTCTTTAATTGTTTGAAATTTATTTTAGTTATTTTGTTGATTACAGTCAAAAGTCGTTAATTCGGACACCCATAATCCGGACTTCAAAGTTTCAAACTTTCTGCGCATACGTCACGTTGACGCATGCGCGTAAGGCCTTTACGGCTGAGAATATGCTTGTGCGCGTGCGCAAAATACGTTTACGAGTGCGCGTTTAATGTATAACGGACGGTGTAAGCTAAGCTAAAATTATTTAATTATCTATTTCAGTTAATGTTGCAAATTGCGTTGTTCCTTAATCTTCGAATTGGATCCGGCTTATTTTTTGCAGACTGTTAAAGCAATTTATTAAAAGTAAGCTTGAACTTTCGATTATGTCAAATAGAATTTCTGATATATATTTATTAATATGTAAATGATCTACAAAGTGAAAATATGTTTCGAAGTTCATTAAACAAAAAGTGGAATTGTTAAAAAATGGATAAAGGCATATCCTTTGTTTATCTAAACTTTAACGTTTTTTTAACTTTGTTTATCTTTAACGCCGCGGGCGCCGCGCAATGAATTGGAAGTTGATCTGTCAGCACTATCCTTATCTTCAGGGCAGATGTTTTTATTTTATTTGGCTTATAATTCTTTATTAAATGTAGTATTTCATCTCGATGTACTCCATCTTTGATATGATTTAAATCAAATTCCTCGTCATTATAATTCGCTTCCGATAGCGAAGAAAGTAAGAGAGGTTATAGAAAACAAAAAAATTTCAATTGACAAATTAGTCCGTATTCTCGACACAGCAATTATAGGACTTGAACAGCGGAACTTTGTAACTGAACAAGAAATTACGTATGTTTATAGAATTAAAGAGAAAGTGTTATCACATAAAACGAAGCAACTTAAATAACTTACATTGAAAGAAATGTTTAATAAAGTAAACAAATAAATATTAAGCTTTTTTTTTTTTTTTTTTTTTTTTTTTTTTTTTTTTTTTTTTGTAAATTTTGATACCCCTTTAGATCATAATTGTTCTTATTTCAAAAATCACGGTTTCAAATTTTTCATTTTATAATTTCTGCATGCCATCTTACCAGATTTAAACTGATGATCTATAATACGGAATCGCCGAAGTCCCGACGAGTCCGGATTAACGACTTTTGACTGTATTGCGTACCGTCTGAATTGTGCAATTCGTAGATGTTTTTTAAAGGTGAAACAGAATGCTGTATACATCGTATTCTTTGAAATTTATTGTTGTTTATGAAATTTTATGAAAGTGAGGTGTGCGTAGTTTGTATATTCGTTTGTTGCGTAAATTGTGCAATTCGTAGATTTTTTTAAAGTTGAAACAGGACGCTGTGTACATGGTATTCTTTGAAATTTGTTGTTATGTTAATTTATTAAAGTAAGATGTGCGTAGTTCGTAAATTAGTTTGTCGCCTAAATTGTGCAATTCGTAGATGTTTTTTTAAGTTTAAACAGGATGCTGTGTACATGATATTCTTTGAAATTTATTGTCGTTATGTTAATTTATTAAAGCGAGGTGTGCGTAGTTCGTAGATTCGTTCATTGCCTAGATTGTGCCATTCGTAGATTTTTTTTAAGTTAAAAAAATATCGCTGTGTACATGGACACTTGTCAAACAATTTTGGTTAGAAACTTTACATTTTTTGCTATCTAAATTTTTTGTTTCTGTTTCGGATCTTTAGCTTAAATTGTGTGTTTAAAACGTTGTTTTTGCATTCGCGAAAAACATATTTTTGGAGACATTTTAGGCTTAAAGTTCGAAATGTAGACAAAAAATTTAGATAGCAATATGCCAGCGTGGAGTTTCTCGCCAAAAAGTGTTTGGCGAGAAATTTGGCGACTTGAGGGCGCATATCAGAGTAGTTCCAATTCTTCTATATGCTTACATTAGTTGTCCAGTTGTAAATGCAAGATATTACTGTCATCTACTGAGAAATGTTTGACACTGATTAAATACAACAAAGCATACTAATAACTCAGGAATAAATATTGCACATCATATTGTTGACTTAGTAATTTGAGTTCATACATACACACCAACAGCCTAAAGTTTTAGTTGAAATATAATATAATAGACAAATTTCTACATTTTCCCATCATCTTACATACATTCATAATCTCAGCATGTCAGCCGAAATTTGAATCAAAATTTTAGAAATTACCTTCCTCATTATCATAGTTTATTAAGTTTATCATAAACAAAATTTAGCAAAGCTCAACAAAAGTAACTTCAATTCAAGATTAGTTGACTCTTTGATAAATTATAAACAATTAAATCTTTACTCAGAAACATCGATGCTTTTTATAATATGTTATATTTACACTAAATGAAAAAAAAATATTAAATTCTGGAAGATTAACAATCATGACAGTTACATTAATTATAAATATTTACCTTTACAGCGCTGCATTTTGCATCTTCCCCAAATGGCCAATTTTGAAATGATTTCAAACGATTAGCTTCTGTATACATTTCATCACATTGTTGTCGTGACATAGTAAAGTTTTTATTTAAGCGATATACATATATATATATACAAAACTAAGAACAAAACCAGATAATCTTACGTTGAAAATAAACACCGCCAAAATTTTTAAACAAAATAACTGTTGTTGCCAGTTGTGAAAGTTAACAAAAAGTTTCAGAATTGTTCGCGATTGTAGTGAAATGGGGCCCTCTGGTAGCGAATCACTGACACAAAAATAGACCTAAGATGAGCAGCAGAAAACAGGTGGTTGTTGTAGTAAGTGTTATCGTGTACTGTGAAAGTGGAATTTATGAGAATGGCGTGTGCAAACACAAACTGTTGTGTGCTCAGTCTGCTTCAAAATGTTCTAGAAACCCGGAATTACGTTTCCATAAATTTCCGAATGCAAAGAGTAGACTAAGAAAGTCTTGCTTTGGATCTAATGTTCTTGTTAGCTGAAGTATTCACATTTGTTTGGCACTAAAGTAAAATAATAATAGTATTTCAATAAATTAACTCATAATTTTAACAATTAATCTAAATTTTTTCATATTTTAAATTTTCGAGCTGCAAAAATGAAACCCAAAGACAACATGATTCTTCTAGCCCACCATCGAGCGAGCGGTAAAAGCCGCTGAACACTGGTAGTTCGGTCCGGAGTTCTAGTCCTGGCGAACGGGCTGGCTGCATGGGCGTTTTCGTGGTTTTCCCTATGTGTAACGTGGATACGAGTCAGTTTTCCTTAAAAAGACCTTGTAGTGTCGCTTCAGTTCCGTCAAGTTTATAATTAAGTTTAGTTAAAGCGGAATGGCAACACTTTCTAGTCTCCACGAAAAACGAAGTAAACAAAGTTCGGTTTTCTGTCACGCGATTCAACGTGCATGTAAAACGTAAATAAATTTCATGAATAAATATCTATAACTTTGTAAGGAATAAAATATTGGTTTTTATTGGAGTCAGAGAAGTGTTATTTTCCTAAATTTGCATATGAGACACTTCAGACCTCCACGGGGCATCCCTCCCTTTCCATGTAGTGCCTAAGGGCGGAGCATGTAATAAGTTTTAAAAAACATGAGTCGTCTAGATTAATTACGGAAGCACCCGAGGCCTACTTCTGGAAGCACCTTCTGTGACATCGTAGATCCCATAATCCATAATCAGCGAGCTCTTAATTAATTTCACTGACATTGCTACTACTGCTACTACCGAGAACATGTAGCAAATTAGAGTTTCAGAAAGCAGTCTTTCTTTTACTCTGAATCTGGTGAAGATAATCAGTAAAATAAAATGAACAGTTTGGATAAACTATGACGAAAATATTAAGTCAAGTGGCCTCCATTGAGAGACGTACCTATAGTTCTCAACGCTCGTCTACACGAATCGATTTTCTCAGCCGACTTTCTGGTAGACTAAAAATTTTAAGCATCTGCTCATGCGCCAAAATTTGGTCATGATTTCTGCCACGATTTCAGAACTGGTGTTCACTGCTCACTAGCGTACGATAAAATGGGAGTCTCTAGCCAATAAGATTGTTTTGAGTGATCACATGCTTTTCTCCTCATTTTGGAATAAATAATAAACTGGCTGTATTTCGTTGGAGCGAAACTCACATTTTTCAACTAATAGATTTTGATAGAGAAAATGTAGTGTTGTGGGACACGAGTAATATAAATTTTAAAAATAAAAAAATTAAGAGGTTCTCTTATTTTGGTAAGCTCTGTCTTCCCCATTGCCTTATGCATTCAAATATTTTTTGTTCAGGGTGAAAATTATTTTAACTTCCCCAAGAAAAGTTCTAAAAACTATTAATGATGCCATGTCATGTACTAGATGAAAATATTCAGAAACTACTTGAAATTATGGTGGCACTTATTGAAAAAATTCAGAAAACAAAATCTGCAGTAGAGAAATTACGGGCCGGATTTAAAGCAGCGCAGAGACTCATTGACTTCGCGGAAAATGGGAGTTCATCACGTGACAAAGTACATAGCTTTTCCGAAAAGTCCTATACAAGCGATTGTAGCCCAGTGACAAAGAATAGGTATTCCTAGGACGCGTATTTTTACCTCCTCCCTAGGAAACGCAACCCGCGACGAAATTTGGCGATTAATCATGTCTTGGCGAAATTGTGACACCAAGCGCATGCACAAAAGGAAATAACGCTGTCGGTTTATGTTTCAAATTTGTGATGGCTGCGAGTATGTCAAAAGAAGTGGAAAATGAATTTTATTTGATGGATATTCCTACGAAGTAGTGTCTTCCAAGTTCGGAAGAAAAGAGGATTTCGACTTTAAGATCAGATGTGATCTTAATAGTGAAGATAGATGGGAGAATTGGGAAATACATTTTGAAGCTGTTTCCCACATGCATTGGATTGTATTTTCCAAAACAAAACAATGCAAATCGGAAACAGCAAAATTTATTTTTGAGAAAGATGATGTGTGTCAACATGCAAGAGTAAATAAGAAAGAGGCTAGTTTCAGAATTAAAGAATGTTTAGCTGCTTTGTATGTCAGAATTTAAAAAAATAACAATGTCGTGATGAGTATGTAAAAAAGAATCTGTGCACTTTTGATTAAAGTTTCATTTCGGCATACACATCGATGTGATATTGCTGAAGCGTGGAATTGCTTACGCCCAATTGATTCGGTGAAAGAAGTGTTCATCAACTACTTTTGTGCCAGTAAAATAATAATTAATAATATAATCTTTTTATTCTGCTATAAATCCACATAATTCATTGTTAGTAAATACCGTCAAAATGGTGACGATAAAGAACAGTCTCATAAACATGTATCTGAAAATGTAGAATTGTTCTACCTTATGGGCAATATATTTTATTACTTTTCGTGATATTCAGTACCTCATATTTCGTACAATGAGTTTTACTTAAGAAATCGGCATTATTTTAATTGCCCTAGTTAAGAAGCTTTAAAGGCATTTTTTTGCAACAGCTGAAAGAAAGCACATTAAATTGCAATTGTTAAGCATATTAATTCATCCATTATATCATGGAATAATGAATAAATTTATAGTTTCCATATGTATATTGAAATGAGAGCTTCAGAATATAAAATTATTCAGACACGATAGAAGGAAAAATCACTTAACTAATTGATTATTTAATAATAAATTAATTGAATGTTGAAGCAATTAATAACACATCCAGAGGAATCTGTGATTATATTTAGAATTTACTTTTTGATTTAGTTAAATTCTAAATATAATCACAGACTCTTCTGATAGTAACATCAAAAACGTCTACGAAGTCATTGACCAAGAGTGCACTTGGTTATGTCTGTCATTAGTTTAAACCTTGGACACATTATAAGTGACGATATGAATTTGCCCAGCTCTATCTCATTTTGAAACAATGACCAGGAGACAGATCCATAGATCATCTACCCCTCTTCTGTTCCCATTAACTCTTGAGGACGTATTGTTCCATGCTATATACCAGGGCTTAATTTCTAAAATTAGAAGTGCCGGAGCCCTACGGAAGACTGTGAGGAAGAAAAGAAAAAAGAAATAAATAATTAAAATAGCTAATAATTAAATAATAAATTAATTTGATTAAATTAAGTAAGTTAATTAAATTAAGAAAAATATAAAGAGAAATTTCATAAATTATTAAATTAATTTTGAATAGTTGAATTCCAAAGGATGACAAGTATCAGTCTTTTTTTGCAGCACACCAAGAAAAAAAGACAGAACGATTAAAGCTCCACTAAGGAGAATAGTGAGAATTCTAGAAAGAGTATGAGGGTATGGAAAAAAATTTTACTGAAAAGTGTAGCTTTGAAAATAAAGAGGGAAGAGTTCAAGACTACCTGATCGTGATGCCCTGTCTATATAATTCTAACTGTCAAGCAGAAATTTTCCCTGATTACTTTTCCTTAATACAACGTGAGAATAAACATAGGACTTCTCGGTACAAGTGGCAGAAGTGGTCCCGCCGTTTGGTTACATCATTCAGAAAGTACAGCTCTGCAGAAGGAAGTCACTAGCATGGAACGTGCAAAACCAGTGTGTCACTTTTAGTTCTTTGAGGAATACAAAATTTACCCGCTCTTATAAATTCATTGCATATCCTGGAGAATAAGCCTTTGACATATAATTGGGGGCTTTTCTTTCCTCAAAAGTCTCAACCTCTGTGCAAGCCTTGAATGCGATGGAAAAACAGGCTTGCATTCAGAAGTTAGAATCCGATTTTTATGACATGTTTACTATTAAAACAAAATTTCTGTCTTAAAATTGTGGTTCACTTGCATAAAAAAGTGCCTGAGCCCTTTAATTTAGGGCTCCAGCTGAAATGATAATTTATCTCGAAAACTGAAAAGTACCGGAGACGGGCTCCGGCGCAATTTAATGCCACAAAGTGAAGAGAAATTTAAATGCCACCAACCTGCACCCCTTTAATTCTCATTCTAAACTTCAAAATAAATACAAATTTATCTGTATTCAAAATAAATACAGATTTATCGTATGAATTTTTTGTTTGTTTGTTTGTTTGTTCATTCTTCAAAAATCTATTATGTGACCTCAATAATTTGAAAGAAAAAATGAAATTATATCTGAACAATGGCAAGTTCTGTATTTTTAGTAGAAACCCCACTCAATCCCTAAATAGTAAAAATAAATATTTAGGATTAATAAATATTTTTAATATTTGGAAATTTATTATTCCCGAATTATATGACTATAATAACTAAATCCTTTATGCCACTTCTCTTTTACAAAGGTCTTAAATTTACTCACAGAAAGAACGAAGGGTTATAAAAGAAAGTATGGATTTTCATTTTTCTAGAATGAAAAAGTGAAATTATTATTTAATATTTTTATTTAATATAATGACTGCAAAAATGTGCACCTTAATTTTAAGAAAGTATACTGATCTAACACAGTTTTTTCAAAATGCTTTGATCATGTATGAAAACAAATTTTTGTTTATTGAATATATTAATTTTAATATTTTATGCTAACCATAACACAATATAAACCTGAATTGCCAGTGTTGTGAGCAAACAGGCATAGAAATCATAGGAACAGTACACACTCAAGCAATGGTTCAGATACTACTAAATGATACTCGTTCTTCTTTCTGCATAAAAAAATTGCATATGTGATATTTGACAACTCAGGATACCA